CCCCAAAACCCCAAAACCCCAAAACCCCAAAACCCCAAAACCCCAAAACCCCAAAACCCCAAAACCCCTTCAATCCTCGCTCTTATTGAAACTCAGATTGTTCTATTACTCCTCTGAGCCTAAAAATGGTGTAGTGCATTCAGGCTATTGCACAAGCGAAATGACTTTGGATTGGGGCCTTTGGGTTTAGGAAGGGAGCAGCTGAGGAAGGGATTGGAGATGTGTTGGACTGGAGTACAGGGAAGAGAGGGGGTAAAGAAGTGCGATGGGGAAGGTGTAGGGAAGGATTGGAATGGGAAGATTGTTTAAGTGGTTGGAGAGAGATTTGGATGTAGTATAGGTGTTGTTTAGTAGATAAGATAGTTCTGGGAGATGATTTGACTTATTTGGAACCTTAGGAGGAAGAATTTGGGTGAGTATTGAATAATTTGATAGAATATAATGATTGCTAAAACTATTTTATATAAAATCTTAATCATAATAAAGTATTAATAACACCTCATCGTCTTATGTATATTAAAAAGAATCAAGAACGTAAATTGATTCTTTTATCAAAGCTCTGTTTGGTATCCACTAAGAGTTTATCTTGTAATAATTTCCAGGAGAACTTTGTAAATCAACAGAAAGCATGACCACGCTGTTTATTTTTTAGAATAGCTCACTTTTGTCGGCTTAAGTTGATAATATCTTCGCTCTTATTCGCTCTAACTCTAATTCTTTTCTCTCATACAAACACAGAACAGTCCAATCCCTCATTACAAATTTACCTTTATCCTTCAAAATCCTCCAGATATATCTCCCCTGCCCTCCCTTACCTCCTTCAACCCTCCTCCCACTTAAACCCCTTCCTCCTCCCTTCTCCACCCCACCTCTGTTCACAGCTATCCCAACCCCAATCTTTCCTTCTCGAGCCACTTCAACAACGTTCAACGACTAGAAGACTATCTCTTGTTAATGAAGCAATGTTCTTGGCTGAGACTGGCAGTGGGTGTAGAAGTGGAGGAAAAAGAGGAAAGGATTGGTCCAATCAGGAGAAGTTAGAAAGAAGGTTTTGGGGAAGTTGGACTGGGGTTAGATGAAGAGGGATTTGAGTTTCAATTTTAGTAATAGTGGAAGGGGTTTTGGGGTTTTGGGGTTTTGGGG